GGGTAAAGAAAAACTCGGTGTATGAACATTTCCGATGTGTGACATTCTTGGGCATCTGTATAACCTCGGAACTACAGTTTGAATTCCTTTTAATTCCGTGTTCCGGAAGGGATGAAACAGAAGCCTCAGATCGATGCAGTCGGCCTCGGCATGTTTGCATTTTTACATGCCACATTGTGGAAAAATATCAGGATGGCAGCAAAAGCACGGATAAGGACTGGTCGAGTTAGTCCAATTTCTCATCCCGTGAAATATGCGTGCGTGTTCTTCCGAAGGGATGGCACCTCATTCGACCCTCTCTGCCTCTTGACATCCCTTCCCCGATTCTTCCACCTGTGACGGGTGGCAAGCGGGGGGGGGGGACACAACCAACGGCCCACATAGTAGGAACGTCACACGGAGTCCGTCGAATACGAGGTTGAAAGGTCACAACCGACGCCAATCAAGGGTAACTTTCCAGGTTACTTCTGTGAGGATCTAGGATCTCGCTTCTTTACGGGATGATCAGGGTTGGAAGCTTAGTTGATTGGATGTTATACCCTCTTCTTCCCCAGATTGACAGGTTGTGTTGATGGCAGGTAATGTTCTGGTGACGAAGCTATATCCGAGGGACCAAAATAGGCCGAGATACCCCTCCTGGAAAAGAAAAAAAAAAAAAAGAAAAGGAAAAGGAAATGCCATGTGGGAAGAAAAAGCCTTGTGGTCCGGTCCACTGGTATTCTGGGCATCTTGTGGAGTCAAGTTTTCCGTCCTTTTTCCCCAGTACTCGCACTTTTGGATCGCTGTACTCTCCGAGAATACATCCACCTGTGCACATTCTTTACCCGCTTGCCTATTTTGGTATTCCCGACGCGGGAAGAGACGGTGTATGGGATTCCCGCCCAGACAAGTGCCGATCGGACATGAGCTGCCACGGGGTAGACCTTGATCAATAGCCTAGGGTCGAGGGTACTTTTGTACCCTTGCATGTATAGAGTTTTAGTTCAAGGGTGCACAGCGACGTATGATGTCCCAAATCCACCGATTCCCCAGACTTAGGGACTACCACTTTGCCTATCCTCACCAATCTGGAGGAAAAATGCCGGAAAGTGGCCGGAGAACAACCGGCCGGCGATTGGACGGATATTGTTATTCCAGCCAGCCCGTGTGCTCTGAATCTGGATTTGGTCCGGCAATGAAGACAATGTCCTACTTGACAGGCCAGATTGCCTTTTTTTTTTAAACTTTTCTCATTTTCGGACCGTGAGCTGAGCCCGAGTCGGGTAGAGATGCGAGATGACTATCATGAGATCAGAGAGTCCTGAGGAGAGAGAATTGGGGGTATTGTTCGCCAGGGTTGTAGGCCACTCAGGCCTCAGGACATTTCCCCATGTCGAAAAGGAATACGAAACTTTGCTATGAGATCTGTCTTTAACTTTAGTTATCCTCAAGGTCTCCAGTTCCAATTAAGTTCATTTTGTATATTTTTATACATGACCTGTTTTTAAGGACGGAGGAACTAAAGAAAACTGGGGGGCTCCACCTCCACGAAAAAGCGCGTCCTTGCATACTTTTGGTCCTCCGCAATTTCAGCGGCTCTGACTTTCTCCATTTTTCTACTTTTTTCTACTTTTTTTTTACTTTTCTTTCTGTGGTGTTTTTTTTTTAAATTTGTTTTTATAATTTTTTTTTGGTTATCCTCTCTTAACCCTATTTCCCCGGTCGATATATTCCCCGTTCTCTCCCGACTTCTGTTTCTCCCGGTCCGGTGCCCCGACTCTTTGAGTTTCCCCCACACTCCGCCAATTCCGTTCTTCTCGGTTCCCTCTTTCGTTCTTTTTACTTTCTCCTTCACCTTGCGCCGGTAAGTTTCCAAGCTAGTCCCTAGCATATGCAATGCTGACTAGTATAGATACCGAACGTCCCTAAAAATTTACCGAGATTCTTCCCCCCGCATATAACGTTGGACCCTGATACCGGTAAATGGAGAATTGCGACTGACTCAAATTAACTCGGCGCATATCTACAGCCCTTGAGTCTATTCAATACACCATGCGGTCCAGCATCGCTTGCGCTCGATGCCGGCGCAGTAAAATCAAGTGCGTCAATGCCGGCATCGATACAACCTGCCGGGCGTGCGAGTCATCTGGACGCGAATGTGTCTACCCAACCCCAGCAATCGGAGTCAGCAATGCCAAAAGAGAGCTGGCTACTTTAGCAGAAGGCGAAGATCGAAATGGAGACTGGGATGGCCCGAAACGACAGCGCTCACGCAAGGTGGTAGGCGTCTCCGGCTCAACGGCTGGTTCTAAGCTCGGTGTGGATGCACTAGATTCCTCGATACTTACACCAAAAGTTTGGGAGGCTGTCTTCGATCTCTTCCAATCGCATTTTGCGACTCTTCTACCCTTCCTACATCCCGCAACGTTTCTCGGCCAGATTCGACGGCTTTCGTCTCCCGCTCCCCCCGCCACCATCGACGGACAAGATCCCCGGAATCCCACTTATCAGGCAGACCCATCTTCGTCCCTGATTCCGCTGGGTGTACTGGCTCTGACTGCTCGCTTTCACCCCCCGTTGGTCGCAGCTCACTCACCAGCATCGCCTAGTCATTCTTCGAATCCGCTTGCCGCATCGGAATATTATGCCGCAGCCCTCCGCAGCCGGCTGACTGGCTTGGATGGCGCTTGCCTCGCTCAGCCCGATCTTGCGCGTGTACAGGCGCTATTGATGTTAGCCTTACACGAGTGGGGGATGTGCCGAGGTAAGAGTGCTTGGGTTTACGTGGGAATGGCCATCCGGCTTGCACAGGCCATGGGTCTGCCCTTTGAACTTGACAATGAATTCCCGGCGCGAGATCCTTTTCGCTCATCTCCAGGTCTGAGGGTCGAGACAGATCACTTTGGTCTGCCGCGGCGTGTAGAGCCCAGGGAGCCGACCTCTGATGATGTCATTGCCCAAGAGACCAAGCGCCGGACCTTTTGGGCCTGCTTTATCCTCGACCGATGTCTCAGCAGTGGCAAGTATCGGCCGCGGATGGTCCGAGTCAAGGAACTCGGAATTCAGCTTCCGAGCGAGAATGCTTTTGCCTTCGGTGAGCGGGTTCGAACGGCCCGCCTCAACGAACCGACCGTTCGCCGTCCGCACAGCTTCGGTTCCCAAAGCATGCAAATCCCCAGCATCCGTCAAAGTATCGGAGGCTTTGGCGAAGAGAAACTCTCAGGACCCAATGGGACTCCAGATAACAAGCCCTGGTCACCGATCTCTCGCCGCAAGGACTCGAGCGAGGATGAGGTTGATCGATGGGAGGTTGGCGCTGAGGAGTCGGTGCTCAGCCGAGTTATTCGGATCATCCGTATTTGGGGAAGTATCGCCAAATGGTCTTGCGCTGGCGGCCGACGCACGGAACAATGCCCCCCATGGCATCTTGAATCTCGCTTCTCCTCACTCCGCCAGCAGTTGAACGAGTTCCAGGATAGTCTTTCTCGCAACCTGCAATACTCCCCGCGAAATACCGATACCCATATCATGTACAAGACCAATTTGGCTTCATATACTGTGATGCATGTTGTCTACTTCCTCTCGGTGGTTGTCCTTCATCGTGCCTATGTTCCATTCCTGCCTATCCGTTGCAATGAGCCCTCTGGCCCCTTGGATGAGCCATTGTTTGCTGTGGACAAGATCAATGGTCCACCTGACGGGTTCTGGCGGGATAGTGCCCGTGCACTCTTCAAGGCTGCCCGACAAATGATTGATCTTGTGGCGACCTGTCAGGCCCGTGGTGCTCTTGTTGAAAACCCTTTGGTTGGATTTGCGATCTACAACGCCGCTTTTGTCTGTGTTTATGGTACCCATTTCCCCCACATGGATCCAGATGGATTGTCCGGAACCAAACCGCCCCCTGCGACCCATGATGGTCACCAGCTTGGTGTCGCACAAGTACACAAGGCTTTGGATATCATCCGAGAGATGCGACCTCGTCTGAAGATGGCAATGGGCTGGTTCCGCACCCTGAACCGCCTTCACAGCTACTTCTCCAAAGTCAAACGCGATTTCCGCCGGGCTTCACGGAATCGCCTGGATAGCATGTCAGATGTCTCTGATCACGGCCTCACTGGGGTTCGCCCCCTGCGCGAAAGCGGTGCCGGTGGTGGCCTTGAGGAATTTAAGGTGCTCGAAAAGCTCTTTCTCGACTTCGGAAGCATCGAGGACCAGTTGACAGAGCCTGGGATGGATGAGGACGGGATCGCAGTGCCCGCAGCAAGCGAGTCCATGTACGAGCGCACGAACATGAGTGACGCTGGAAGCAACGCCGTCAGAAGTGACACCGGTGATCCCGGGGACCAGATGCTTGACGGTGCTGGTGGTCGTCGCGAATCGTGGGTCCCGATCAACAGTCCCGGTTTGTCGCTACCTGGACACGATGGCGATCGCCGCCCCAGCCTACCACTTCCCAACAGCCGCCAAATCCCATCTGGATCCCCGTACTCCCTCCCATCCCTTCAGCAACATCATCCAGACGGTCCCATGTACACCACCTCATCTCCCAGCTTCCCCTCTCTATCTGCAACTACGCAGTCCCCCTCTCAATACTTGACGGCATCGAACAACCGCCTGAATCCCATCAACACCTGGCTCCCAGCCCGCCCACAGGCCCCTCCTCCACCATACTCCCAATCGCTGCCTCCCATCAGTGCAGCCGCCTCCCACACCATCCCTGTCCTCCCCCCACCGGGGTCTGTTACTCAGTTGGCCCCCTCCCCGCCTCTGACCTCAACCGAATACCCAGAATCAAGCTTACTCTCAACGAGTCTCGGCGGAGACGATGTCATCGCCTTCCTGGATGGATCTGACTGGGATCAGCTATCCATGCTCGCGCCTTCTGAGATTGGTCTTCCCGCCGGTTGGCTGAGCACAGTCTGGTCTCAATTCAGCCGCTAGAGTTTCCCCCCGAGAGCCCATGATCTCTCTGTCTCACGTCTTCCGCCGGCGCCTATCGAAGCAGTGGCACCGACCGCTCTTGCTTCCCTGTATTATTACCCTTTACGACTTCCTGCGTTCGTTACGTCTTACGTACTGTACGATCATCTCTTTATCTCTCTTTTTCTATCTCTGATCGCCGGCGACTTCAAAAAGGGGACCTTTCAGCCTGCGGAACCCCCCGAGTACCCGAAGGCAGCCGAATTGAATTTCAAACATGTCCTCTCCTGGTCTGGCCGCCCCATGTGTTGGTGCCGACTGGGACTTGAAAGCGGGATCACGAAGATTGATTATCACCTATACCCAATGCGCGCAACCTCGTCTTTGCTTCTCTTTCGATGCTTCCCTTTTTTTTTTTTTGTTATTTGAACCTTTTCTTTTTGTTTGGGTTATGTCAAAATGCGAGGCGTTCCTCGCGGTTTCCAGCCAAGGTGGCCGTGAAACCCGAATCAATTCATGTTCATTTGCCGTCCAATGGGTTCCTTTTTCTCTTTATTGGCCTTTGCTTGATTTCCAGCGCAATTTTAGGATGGCAAGGAAGCCTGGTAGCGGGGTCGGGTTTTTTCGACTTTGTTCTAATTTTCTTCGTGTCGGGGATTTTTTTTTTATGTTTCTGAGCCGACCTTTGAAACGGTCGAGGTATGTTTCTGAAGGTGCGTTTCCCATAGTCTACGTGTTGAACCTTGTGTCTTGCACACGGCAACTCTCCTGGGTCAATGTACCTGCCTCTATGGCAGCTGGTTTTGTTTTTTTTTTTAAAAAAAAAATTAAATTCTTCATTGAGGTTCTTATTGGCATAGAGTTGAATCATTTGTAAAGGTCCCTGCTGTAGCCTTCATTGAGCAAATCCCGACGGATATTGGAATTTAGTCGCCGCCGTGCGTGGACTGTGGTCATTTTTGGACTTTTATGCCGTTCATCGGGTATTCCCCGACCTGCGGCTAAATGTTTCTCGGGCCGAAGGGGAACATATGTCAGATGGCTTTTCTGGTCAACATCTTTCACGCAGGTGTAATCTCTCAAGAGCCGAGGTATGGTGTAGATGTAAGGAAGGGGGATGTAATTTGCGGTAAATCCAATTCAGCGGTGAGATGGAAGCAATGCTTGCTGGCGGATTTGATATTTTTGGGATATTTCACGGTTGACAACCCATTCATCTGCTTGCTCAGCCTCCCCCATCCCCCGGGGATCTGGAGGATACCTTTGGCGGCATTCTTTGGAACGACTCGGATTTGCATCAGCCGTCACCAGATTCGGGGGTTTCCCGGATATGAGCCAGAATAAACCGAATGGCTCGGGCTGATGATCCGATCGCTTCCACCATCAAGTGCCACATCGAAACAGGCAAGATCGGGTTCCATCACCTCTCCGGCAATCTCGAATCTCGACCATCTCTTCACTTTTCTAGTGTGTGACTACTAACCTAGACGCATCTTGTTTCGGATAGGCTGATGATCAAACTGCAACAAGGATAGCCTGCCGCGTGATGCGGTATTGGGATCGGTTTCGGGGAGACTTTGGATAGTCTTTTCGGATATTTTTCTAGATCCAACATCTTCTGCCGACCTTCTTAGTTTCAGAGAGACACGGTCAAAAGAGACGGACACCCCTGAAGATCTTGAAGTCTTCCGAGCCAGGGGCGGCTACGACGGTGGGGCTGTGGATAAAGAGGGAGAGGGAAAGGGTGGCAAGTATCTCGAGGGCTAACAAGGAAAGGGATCGTGATCTGGATTAGAGCCAAATTGGTGGTACTGGATGGGTCAAAATAGACGCCCAAGTCTCTGGAAGAGTTCTCTGAAGATGGTCAGATTGGAGAGGGAGCTTGATCATTTGCACACAATGATTCGACGCTATGATTCCATCCATCAGGAGAAGTAGGATGGTTATGTTCTAATTGCTCTGTCTTCTTTTTAACCGACGATTCTCAGCGTAGATAGCCGGTTGTCCCCCCAAAGATCCTAGGCGTTGACCGTCTCTACGGTAGCCGATAGGGTGAAGGCCAAAACATGACATCCAATCATTCATAAATCCTAACTCGATCTCTTTACAACTACCCGGCATGTGCACCGCGCTCCTCGAGCTTCTTTCTATATCTACTGTTCGGTGCATTGTAATGTGGACAAACTACCGTCAACCCATCATCGTCTGAACGAAGAGCCCCTGGATCTTGAATGGTGTTTTCAACTCGGCTTAGCCCCTTCCCCAAGTGAGACTGATTACCGGCTCACACCCTAGAGTGCCCCTCAGGTGCTTAAGCTACATTAAGAACTAGCTGTAGTAATCGTAAGGGGGCTTAGTACAGCCGAGGACGGGATGCCCTGGTAATCGAACGGGATGCTCTGAACCGAAAATGCCTCTGGGTGTCACACATATTCTTTTACTCACCCGAGGGTAAAACGATGCAGCAAATTGGGTGTTTGAGAAGGCCAGTGCCTGATGAGGGGAGTTTATTTCGGAACCAATCCCCACCGAAAGCTCGGTGTCTGTACTTAGTTTAACATCTTCAAGATCAAGTTTGAAGTGATACATACCTTACCTGCAGGCCTGCTTTGTCCGAAAAAGGGTCAGGGAAGATTTGAGGACGATTTACAAGGAATGACACTGGAAGGGTCTTGAGGCACTTAGGGTCAACGAATAGATAACTCGTCGAGCCAACGGCCTTGCATGACTGATTCGACCATCGTTAGCCAATGAGTGCTTATGCAGGCATAAGGCGCGCTTCTTCCACTCAAGAGGTCTATTGAATTTCCCCAATCCCCCGGACGGGGGAAGAAAATGATCTTACTGTCGGCTGTGATACTCGGCACCGGTTACAGGATTAGTTTGACTGTCACAGGGTACCTCTAGTCTCTCTGCAGTTCTCATACTTCGGATCGGTGCAGTCAAGGTAGAGCATACAATAGCCGGACCGGCTTGGACTGTAAATCTCAAAAGACTTCACAATTTAGAACGAGGTTCCTGCTCCTATTCAATCCAATCGAAACTATTAGATCTCAACATCAACTCTAAGAGTAGACAAAAGAGGAGCAACAGTCTCCACATCCTTATCCCCCCCCCATCCACGCAGGCAAAGAACACGATCTCGGTCAGGTCCCAGCTCCTTTGCAACACGCACAGTTCCAGCAACAGTTCCAGCAACAGTTCCAGCAACAGTTCCAGCAACAGTATGCGAACTCTCCAGTGCAGCCAGAACCCCCTCAAGGTGGCTGAGCAACGAAAAAGCCATTAAGACCTCCGCGTCATTTGCTCCACCAAAAGCAACCCGACCGGACTCCTTCCAACTCGCCCACACAGGTCCAACACCAGGATAATCAAGTCCAGCAGAGACATAGTGCGTCTGGTTAGCATCCCCGCCTTCATCCCAAGACAAAAAAAAAAAACTTAACGCAAGCCGTGCACCACACCAACAGACTCATGACCCAGCGAAGCAGAGTACTGCTCCTCTATTAAACGACCACCACTTGCCTCAACACCAACAAGAGCAACAAATGAACCACCCAAGAAGGAAAAAAAAACACTAGCAGCATTAGACTCACCACCAACACAAGCAACAACCGCATCGGGAAGTCTACCAGCATTCATCGCGCGAAACTGATTTCGAGTCTCCGGGCCAATGACAGTCTGGAACGTGCGAACAATGGTCGGATACGGATGCGGACCAAACGCCGAGCCGACAGCAACCGGGAAAGAGTTCCAAGTGCAAGCATTCACACGATCGATCAAATATCCCACATGTCCATACGGCTCCTCATGGGCTCCGCTAACTCTCACATGAGATATGAGATACAATGCAAACAAACGAGTCAGCGATCTTGCAAATCATCCCCGTATGAGCGTTCGGGGTGGAAGAGGAAATGAGAGAGGAATGTACGATAGTCTGGGATCTTAGCTGAATACAGATTCTCCTCTCCGTAGGGATACTCACGCACAACCTTGTAACCTGCCAGCGGCACCGGGACAGCCAGACCTGGTTTACGGGCTGACTTGACCGTCTGCTGGATGTAGGAGACTTGAACACCATTCGCGAGGGCCTTAGCATTGGCCTGCTGGATGGTTGGGCTTTCGGTCCCAGGATCTGTGAAAGGAATGCCAAGTTTGATGATGTCTGGTCAGAGGTTCTGATAAGTTGATTTTAACTCCAGCATGATGCAGGTCTCACGAAAGAGACCGGAGTGAACAACACATACCTGCACCCCCGGCTTGCATGGACAGCATCATACCCGGTGTCTCGCTAACGGCCGGATAGCCAGCCGTCACATATGGGATCCAGGTAGCGTGGTTTTTGGCCTTATCTTTTGCCAAGGCTTCGTGGATGGCCTCCATATTGTGGTAGGCTAAGACGACAAGAATGCTATCCTGTAGAGGTGGTGATGCTGTCGCACTGTCACAATGCAGTGGAGAGAAGAGATGGAAGAGGAAAAGAGAGGCGAGAAAGGACTTACCCTATCTGAGATTGCAGTCTTAGCTTCTCCCTTTGAAGTCCTGTTGGGGACATTGCTGTCTGATGTCTGCTTGTTTGCTCCCCATGTTTTCTCTTCCGGCTAGCTAGATATTCACTCTCTATAGTCATTCAAGAGAATTTCTCTTCAAGGCTTCGCATAATGATTGTCACAGGGTGCATTCCGATCTGGAAGGGGGTAATTCCGATTTTAGCCTATTCGATCAATGTCAGATTGAACTTAGTTCTCGTGGTATATGGCACCTTAGCATAACGTCTCTTTTCAGGTAGTCGGTAAGACAACCCGCTGGAAGAAGAAAGTAGCGAATCTGTTAGCTAAAACTCCACCTAAAACATCCGGGTTCCTTTCGAACCATTCACGATCGAATTCAGTTTCCTCGAGGAAACAGAAATACCAGATAAGCGCGAGCCCCAGAAAACCGACCGTTCACCAGAACTCAACAGGGAAAAACGAGTGCGCAGAAACGAAATTTGAGACCGTCGGACCGGCAACCTTTCCAAGCAAAGATGCCATATGTAGAGCAGTAAAAGCACGGCCACGCTGATTCAAGAAGAACAGACCAGGCATGATGCAAGGGCCAAGCATTGTAGGAACGGCACCGAAGAAACCGACAAAGAGCCGGGAGATCACGTATGCGCTCTAGTCGCCAGAATCGGCTATGAGTGCGCCGTAGATATGGCATATTCAAGTGAATAGCACACATCAGAAGATCACCGGGCTGCGACCGAGCATATGAGACATTGGGGCGAAGAGGAGCGGACCCGCTGCCATGCCCGCTAGGGCGGCTGAGTTCTTGAGGGGAATTTTAGATGAATGATACTGCATTTCATAACCGCTTAGAATTTTTCAGTCTTGTTTGCAAGGTAGTTATAAGCTTACCGCATAGGACTGCTCCAACTCCATCTTGTTGGATAGGTTTTCCTGATCAGCCAGGTTGAGCTGCCCCGTTAAAGACACAATGGCGCTAGAGAAAAATGCAAGACATACCACGGCTAGTATTACAGAGTTGCGATTTATAGGCCAGATCTGGAATGATCCCAATCACTTCCTTCTCAGGGATACTTTTTTAACGTTCTTCTTGCTGTACCCGAGGGTCCCGGAGGTGGATATTAGATTGGGGGACCAAGACAAGGTGAGCTGCATGGTGATTTTCCACTGGGTTTAAAATAGTGAGGGCCGTTCCGACCTTCTGTACTTCTTCGCAGTTCATAGCTGACCTATCTTGCATCGTCAGATCGTGTGTAATAACCAGGTACCTCTCCTAGGAGCTGGGATATGTCTTTCCCTACCCATGGCATTGACCCCCCCTTTTTCAGCCCTACGACACAAGATATCTTGTCGGGCTAGATGGAAAGCCTTAATTTTGCCAAGCTCTTCGCCGATCTCTTTGTGTGGGGAATTTGGTGCGTGGTATAGAAGCCTAGAAAGAGAATTGTTCCTAACGATGAATCTGTGTGGTGTCGAATCGGTTCTAAAATGGACAGCAAATCAACAACCGCCTGATATTTCAGGTGTCCAAGCCAGAAGTTAACTAACTAACTAACTAACTAACTAACTAACTAGTTAACTAGCTCCTGAACTTCAACGTCACACGGCGATCATTGACGTTGTCCCTGTTATCCTGTTCTCCTCGATTTGCTTGAGGTGACTCACATCTTCACATGAAAAATGAAGTAGTCGGCCATCCAGGCCGATCGCCCCATGCGATCCACATTGGCGTAAAAGGCTCCACGCGAAAAAAGGCTTCGGCGATAGCTTCAACATGCCGAGGGGTCTTTCAGTACAAAACTGTCCACTGAATCCTGTTAGATTCATTTCTGTGTACATCCTTTAACTACTTTTGACAAGATTAAATCATCAATGAACCGTTTACATCGACACCATACTATCTAATCCCCCTCAACACCCTGTCATGGAATCCAGACCAGATCTCGAGTCCCAAAAGCCCACTCCGCAGATCGATTCTTTTCACGACTCAGAATCAGAAGATGAACAGGCCCTGAAACCCCAATCCTCAAACGCCTATGGCATTCCAATATGGCGCAAATGCCTCATCCTCTTTGTTGTTAGCTGGATGACCCTGGCTGTAACATTCTCCAGTACTTCACTACTACCCGCAACCCCAGAGATCGCTACCGAGTTTTCTACTACATCGGAAATTCTCAATATCACTAATGCCGGTGTACTTATTGCCATGGGCTTCTCGTCGTTTATTTGGGGTCCCATTACAAACCTATTCGGGCGTCGCAATGCCTATAATACAGCTATCCTTGTGCTTTGTGCATGCTCGGCCGGTACCGCCGCGGCGATCAATTTACGCATGTTTATTGCAATGCGCATTTTGGGGGGCTTTACAGGTACCTTCTTCATGGTCGCTGGGCAAACTATTCTTGCGGATATCTTTGAACCGGTGGGTCGGGTTGATTCCGAGTGTTTTCGGGTTATTGATAGAAGTTGATAGACTGTACGTGGAACGGCTATCGGTTGCTTTATGGTTGGATCTGTCAGTGGGCCTGCAATTGGTATGTTTAAACTATCACTGCCTGCGTGTCGCTAATTTTATAGATAGGACCCTGCATAGGTGGCATAGTCGTCACATTTGCTCAATGGCGCATTATCTACTGGCTGCAATTCACGATGACTTTACTCGGCCTCTTGTGGTCTCTTCTTTTTGTACCAAGTATCCAAGAAAAGAACCGGGACTCCAACGAACCTCTAAAGCTTTGCACTCTGATAGGCATGTTCAATCCCATGCACATCTTCCGTCAATTTGTGTATCCCAATATTTTTCTTGCAGTAAGCATTATCTGCTAGTGCTAAGAATTAATTGCCTTGTCCAGTGACTGACCCCCAAAAACTAGTGTCTCACGTGTGGCCTCCTTTCTACATTCCAATACGCACTTCTCACATCAGCCCGCTCAATCTTCAATCCCCGTTTCAACTTGACGTCTCCTCTCGTCAGCGGCCTATTCTACCTCTCCCCTGGAATAGGCTTTCTGATCGGTAGTGTCGTTGGCGGCAAGTTGTCCGACCATACGGCGAAGAAATGGATTATCAACCGAAACGGGGTGCGCCTGCCTCAAGACCGTCTAAACAGTGGTATCGCCACTCTTTTGGGAGTTCTCCCAGTTGCAACCTTGATTTATTGCTGGACTTTGCAGGAAGAAGTGGGTGGGATGGTTGTTCCAATTATCGCGGCTTTCTTTGCGGGCGTAGGGCTTCTGGGTGCTTTCAACGGGTTGAATACCTATTCGGCTGGTGAGTATTGTCTATTTGAACCATGGTCCAGCTTTCTAACTGTCTAGCTTGCAGAGGTTATGCCACATGTTCGTTCGGAGGTCATCAGCGCAAAGTACGTGGTACAGTATATCTTTGCTGCCGCAGCGACGGCAGTTGTTGAGCCGGTAATTAGTACTATCGGGGTGGGATGGACATTTACAATCTGTGAGCTTTTGCAATGGGATTCTGATTGAAGCATAACTAACCATTTGTTCAGGTGTTTTCTTCGCTATAACAGGTGGCTTCCTTGTGCTTGCCATCACCAAATGGGGGATTGATATGCAGCGATGGTCTGAAAGGAAGTTTAGCCTCGATGTGAAGTCTTGACTAGAACGAAATGACGCCTTTTGCCTCATTACTATTCCTTCATTTGCATACTAGGCGATATGAAATGCCTGCATAATAGATTGATTTAATACGGATTGCTAGATACAGACCCAAAGATTTCGGGACATTTGATACAAAAGCTTTAGCCATATAGAGATTCCGAAAAGAGACCATAGCAAAAGGATCATGCGAAACTTTTCGTACCTATTTATGTTTACAATTTATTAGTTATGCTCGTCTGGGTAGAATTTAAAAGTTAGGCCTTGAAGGATGCTGCAATCGATTTGTCATCGGCCTAATCCCAAAATTGCCGAATGCTCGGGAAAGGCCTTTTCTAATCCCCGGCCGCATCTTACGATTTTCCATATTTTGCACAACCTGAAAAGCCTGAAAATAAGGGAATTTTCAGATGGCTCGAAAAAGAAGTGCTCTTACAAAAGAGCAAGAGCAGGAAAGTCGGGAGTCCCAAAGACGAAAATTTGTCGCGTGCGTATTCCACCAGATACACTGAAGCCACCGAGCACTGACGTACGATATCAACAGCTGTCAAAGATGCCACTCGCATAAAATCAAATGTTCTGGAGATCGACCGTGTAGCAAATGCCGCACGGTAGGGCTTGCTGAGGAATGCGCCTATACTATTCGGGATCGCCAGGTGAAAGTTAGCGAGAAGTATGCGAGGAGACCAATATTAGACCAAGCCTGGAAATGCTAGTCTACTAAACGTACCAGACCAGAAGCTAAACCCGTCTTCTTCAATTAGCTATTTAGATCAGATTCTCGCGGAGAATCAGCGGCTCAAGGAACGGTCAACCACCTCGGCTCAAGTTGCCGAGACCGACCCGTCACAGAGGTAGACATCCCTTGACCTTCTGATGCGACCCGCCACATGCTGAGATATTCAACAGACCCCTTTCCAGAACAGTAGATGCCCCGGATGGAACAGGTATTCAAAATCCATTGATCGGAGATCGAGCCTGGTTCTACCGGTATGATCCCTCTTCGCCACCCATCTACATCGGCGAGGCGGCATGTTCAGCGTTCGCAACACGGTTTCGGCGTTTCTTGTCGGGAAATTATGCAATGCCACATATTCCCCGAACACAGTATGAGCACGAAGAGACGATCGCCGCAGCGAACGAAGCCGATATCCAGTGGCCGAGTCTCCACCATGCTCGGCTGTTAGTTCGGATAGCTATCCACCAGATAGGACATCTGTACCATCTCATGATGCGCAAGTCGACTTTGGATAAACTGGAAGAGATCTATCAGACACAGGACTTTGACTGCCCCGCAAACAAGTGTAAATTCTTTGCCCTGTTCGCCTTTGGCCAGGCGTATTCAATCCGATCTGAGCCCAATTCTGGCTCCAGAGTACCAGGCACGTCTTACTTTGCTCGATCCATGGGCTTGGTCCAGATCTTACCGGAGAGAACCAGTGTGGCGCACTTGGAAACCCTGCTATTATTGGTATCTCGCTCAGCATGCACCATTGTTTGACCCTAGAGTGCTTACGATTTCCCCAGTCTCTTTTTTCATACTATCTCAACCGGCGTCATTCCGCCTACGTGTTGATCGGCAACGCCATGCGGATGGGGTTGACCATCGGCTTGAACCACAATATCCTAGAATCACAGGTCATCGACCCAGTAGAACGCCAACACCGCATCCAAATATGGTGGACAATCTACATCTTTGACCGGATGTGGGGTTCTAAAATGGGTCTCCCAATGCAAATCCTCGATGAAGATATCCACGTCGACATGCCGTCAACCATCTCCCCCCGCTGGCGTCATGAAGAAGAACTCTCCGACTCAGAATATATGACCGCCAACATCAAGCTGGCACGCATAGTCGGCGAGACAATCACCAAACTGTACAGCCGTCGAAAGTACCAGGAGACCTTCCTCCAACGCGTCCAAAAACTCCTCAAGGCTTTGAAACACTGGGTAGAAACTCTCCCCGAATCCCTCAAACTGAACATGGAAGACCTGGAATCGAGCAAGAAACCCGTTGTCTCCCTCCACTTGGCTTTCAATCAATGTGTGATCCTAACCACGCGCCCAACGCTACTGCATCTCCTTATGACACTAAGCAAAAAAACAACATCCCGCCCCAATACCGCCAATAATACCAGTGGGACCGGGACTGAAAGCGAGAGCCAAGAGGTATCCGTTTCCCAGCCCGTCCTTACCCTAAGCGAAGCATGCATCCACGCAGCGCGGCACTCCCATTCCATGATCTTGACACGGTGGATCAACGGGTCCATGCCGACGTTCGGCTATTTCCACGCTCACTACCTCTTTTCCTCGGCGTTGATCTTGGCAATGTCCAGCTTTGTTCCGATCGGTAATCCAACTGACATGACAGGATTCGACTCCGCGCTGGATCTGCTGCGCTCCATGACCGAGAATGGGAATTTGGCGGCAGCGGAATTCTATCACAACCTCGAGCAGGTGAAGGTTTGTTTAGTTGCGCACCGGGGAGTGAGGCGGGGCGAGGGGAGTGCTGGTATGGCCGATGGTGGACGAGTGACTCCTAACAACAACGCTCATGCTAGTGGCAATATCCTTTCTGGCGCTGGTGCGCTCGCTTTATCCGGGCCATCGCCGGGCTTAGTAGCAGCTACTACTCCTTTTTTGAACACCTTGCCCCTGAACCCACCCACATCGGTATCAGCATCTATGCCCCTAGCGCCTTTGATACCCACCACACATGATATCCTTGCTTCTGCCACCACCCGGCCTGTTCACAGCCATGGTATCGATGCATACACTTATCCTTTGAGGGAGACCGTCGGCGGGTACACGACCGAAATGACGTTTCTAGAGCCGACCATGCAAGATTTCCTGGCGCAGTCAGATATGGACCTTGGGCTGCTGCATCCTGTTGATACGTTCTTCAACGAGGCGGAGAATATATATACGTGTCATGAGTTTTGACCGGGTTGGCCGGGGAAAATGGAATACTGATCATGATATGCTTGTTCTAGATCTATTTGTTCCTGCCAGAGTTGAGATGGCAAGTAACTCAACGCTCTAATACCTACGTGGTATTCAGGTCAAAATACTCACTCTATCCTGTGCAAACCGAGAAATATTCTTGTAAGCAAATGAAAGACACAATCCTATGACGACGTAGAATAGTTAAAAACAGTCTTGCGAAAACCGTTGATGAAAATAAACCGAAATCATAACCGAGACATCAGGAAAAAAATAAAAAAAAATACAGCAGGATGAGGAGGGACGCGTGATGGACTGGCAAATTGCGTGGTATGGGTCGTTCAAGCCAGCAGAAAAAAAGCAAATGCACCGCTGAAGATCACTTTCCCCCAATCAAGCCATGATATAGATCAAATTTCCAATATTTCATCAGAGATATTGAAGAATGCGTGTCTAGAGTTCGGTGTTCTCACAAATCCCAAATTTCGAACCATGTCGTGAAAGAAGGTCCATGCAGACAAGCCAGGCTCGCTGCGAAGAAAGGTCTTTGGTCGATATATCTTTCAACCAGCGAGTTGCTTTGTTGATTTTCTTACTGATATCAACAGCCTTGGCCGTACCTGTATGAGTGCGAGTGAGCAGCTCGGTGAGGAGAATGGTAGTCGACTGTATGATGTTGTGCAGGATACACCACCACGGAGCGACACCATACAGCCAAGTAAAGTCCGGCTCCTCGGGTAACAGGTCGAGCATCTGACCTGCCATCTGAACGCACAAGCTTGCCATCTGGTCACACACCGTTCCCGGTGAGCTTGCCTCAGACGGTTGAAAGGAACAGCGGATACAGGGCTGCAATATTATCAGTTTTGTGGCGTAGAATCGGAAAGCAAGACTAGTACGCTGCCGTGGAAATTGTTGATTTGTGTCTAGCTTTGTGAAATCAAATTGGATCGGAAGACGAGAAAACCAGTTGTCTGCATGGTTGTTTAGCGTGCAAACCGCAATTTCGATATCGTGCCATGATTGTCGCCTTGCTTTAGGAGCATACAGAGTGTTAATAGCCTCCCGCGAGAGATGAGCTAGGTCCACTGCGTATAGAAAGTACAGAGAGGAGTTCGGTGTCATATTCTCTGGCCCAACCTGAATGGCCCTTTCTTTTTGTTTTCCCTTGCCCGACTCATACTGCTCCGGTGTTCCTAGAGTCTTACTCTCTTTTTGTACAGCCGGCGTGGTATCGAAAATCAAAGGGGAGAAATAGGCATTTCGAGTCCGTTGTTCGGTTATCATTTGCACAACACGCTTGTCCCAGAAAGTTTCCTCTGCAAAAGGCAAAGGAAAGGGCGTAGAGCAAAATATGTCCCCCGTGCCAGGTGGACGGCCTGTCATCTCACAAAGCACAATACCCAACATAAATAGTGCCCACCAGACGCGATAGCGAAGTTCTTTTGATAAGTGGGTGATGCTCTCACTCTCGACTCGAATGTTTAGACCCATGGTTACCGCCGATCGAATTGCAATCCCAATTATTCTCCATGACCTAGATGAACATGCCCCACGAATTAGGTATGAATCGCGCAGTAATAGACAAGGATGGAAAGTGAAATGACCAACCTGTTCACTTGGCCAACCGACAGGAGGTAAAAAGCAGCCAAGCCCTCCACCTGTGCCTGCTGTAAGTCGGGATGATGTAACAACACACTACCTACATCCAGTTTCCACGCCCGTGCAAAATAAGTCTGATGGTCGTCGCAGTTTGGTTGGGGCTGATCGACGAGGAAGGAATGTCTGGCCGCAATGGCAAACACTAGGTTTAGCACTATAATCCATCGTTTCCCAGGTCGCACGTTCGGATTCGCATAGAAGGATCGGTACTGGTTCAGAAATATTGCCTTTCCAATAATCGGAAAAGTAGGGTGAACGACGTGAAAGTAGGTGTCAACGAGCCTGTTAGCAATTTGCTGTGGAGGCCGGCGTGCGAGGTCGATGTCTTCCAGAAACAAGATTTCCGAGTCATCTTGGAAGTAGTTCACAGAGGAGATTGAAGGGCGTTCGTGGGTCTCTTTGATTCCATTCGAACTGTGATAATCAAGGTCGCGTTTGAGTCTGTACAACCATGCCATCTCCGAATGTTCACCCACAAATCCTGTCGCCTGTACTTTCTCATCACGATCAAAATCCTCTTCGGTGTAGTCTACCACCCCCGAGGGAGTAGATATAGGACTAGCATCTGCACTGGACGAGATTACTGATGGGTTGATGTGGTCTGGGGGGTTGGTGAATAAAGCAGGGATAGGAGTTGGGGGAATGCCTTTGGTGAGCGGAGTACGTGCATTGAGCTCCCTCAGCGTTTGATCGACCTGTTGGGCCAAAGAGGCATCGAGCTTGGGATAAAGGCCGCGAAACAAAGCGTCAAATGTTTCAACCTGGGTGGTGAGATCATTCAGCCGCCTATCACCCGTCAGAGAAAAAGGACTAATACTGGGCGAAAAAGATTACCAACTTCACCATCTTCTCCCTTTTCCGATCGCCATACGAGCACAGGACGCTGGCATCCAGACACCGATGACAGGCTGGGCGATGGCCACTACATTTGGCCTTTTGTTCACGGCAATTTTCACAGGCTCGACTGACTCGACCACTGCTAGCCCAACCACTAGATTGTGCATTCCGGGGGATAGCCACCTTCGCATTCACGCGGTCGCCGTTGAATGAAGGATAATCACGGATATCACGGCTATCGTGGGGGTGAACAGTTTCGGGATTGAACTCGAAGGGAGATGGTTGCGGGTATCTAGGCATGGCCACACTGGAAGAGCAGAGGAAAAATAATCCCCCCCCCCCCCTTTTGAACAATAGAGCCAAGAAAAAGATAATAATTACAAAGTAGTTGATGCCCCCCTCCCTCCCTACGGTGGGTATTCACAAGTTGGTTTTCGACCGAAATCGGGCTCTCTGGTATGGTGGAGGTCAATGTCGGTCCGCCACGAAGAGCACTAAAACCAATAAGCGCTTCGCTTTGCAATTTTGATTGTATATTTGACCACGTGAGAATGGACACTTTAAACAATTCCATACTGTGAAATGGATGTGCTGTATCGTACGAACATTGGCGTGTGTGGCCTGTGCAAGCCCTTCTCGAGGTTTTCCTTGTGTTTGACGTATCCACAATATCCATAGCCATAGTTAGATGAAGCCTGCTCTGTGATAAGCTGGAAGACTAGTGTTCTCCCTGTACTAGCAATGTGAAGTTGGACGTTCCGAATTGGATCGCTTTCTTTCGGTCCGAGAATCCGGTATTGCAATTATCGACGATAGCGTGGCATTCAAAACGCCATCCTCGTTCGAGGACTCGGGAGGATACCTCAGAAATCCTTCTCATGACGCAAAGTTGTTTTGGTGATCAGAATTAGAGACCATATGCAGTCAGATTGTCCCTAGAGGTTCCTGTCCATTCAAGGCTCTTGGAAAAGTGTGCACCGGAAAAACTGAAGCTTTGCAAAGAGGCCTATCTGCATCAAACGTGGATATATTTCCTTTCAATCACACAACCTTCTTGCCCTTCGGGCTTACCTCGGTCTGGGTGGGTCGACACTCGTTCATCATTAAAACGGAAGACCCGCTGATGTCGGCACGCTCACCTGTACCCCAGAAGCCAGCAAGACAATAAACCTTCACAGCCGCATTGATTGAAGTGATTTTTTCTTCGATTTCCCGGTTTCTGTTTCTTGTACCCCACGAGTAGATGGGCCGTGTTTGATTGCGTGATCAGCTATGGTGATCTGCGGGGCATTTTGAGAACCACAAGTCTGCAATGAGCTTTAAACCAGCCAAGACAGATGACACGACAAGAATGATATCCCCGGTCTTTGACCTCAGTAGTGGAATTCTGGGAAGGAGTGCCGTTATATGACCGTGATGTGACCAGTGATGTGACCAGTGATGTGAAGTAATGGGGTTCACGCCCCACTGCAAGCAGTGTTCAAACGTGGTGAATGTGACTGAGCCATGCAGTTTTGCCACTAGGCCATGGGAGTGACCCCAAGCCCCGAGGCGTATTGGAAGTATGGACGAGTCTGCGATCTTGATATCTTGATTCACAACGATTGACCTGTGGGTGTGCCACCTGGTTACATCACACTGAGAGGGCTTAGTTGCAGTGCACCAAGTTTAAAAAAAAACGGTTGTCATCAGTAACGACATCAAAACAGAATGGAAAAAAGGATCTATGCTTGTTTGTGAAATACCTGACGATTAATCCTGCTTGCTGTGCAATTTTAGTTAATTTTGAGGCGCTCAACTTTGGTCTCCAGGGATTCACCTAGGCACTATCAATGTGGCAATGAACCAGTGTATGAACTGATTCTCAGCGATCAACTTGGGCCCTTGAGTATAAAATGTCCTCACCACATTCTCAGCGGATGCTAGCAGTCATAATTCCGACTCTGTAAAGGTGCTTTAGAATGGGAGGATAGGGATAGAGTCGGGAGCAATGCGCCCGTTCCTCTTGTAATTTTCTGTTAGTGCAATACGTGCGAATATATCAAATTTCCTTCAGCGCAATTCCTCTCGGGAAATCCCAGAGATAAATTGAACCAAAAAAACCCTCCAACGCTCTGTAATGGGGGTAGCAAAGAGGTTCGAATTGGGTGGAGACGATTAACAAAGACTTCGGTGCAACCCGGAAATCAACTCCGAATGGGCATCGCACCAATTAGGGTCCTATCAAATGGAACAAGCTTCTCCGCGCTTGAGATTTGGGGCAAAAATTCGAATTTTCGAAAGCCTGTCAAGGAAATAAATGGTGCCATGAAAGAAAATGCTGTGAATCGTGGACATCAAAGCCATATCGTTGGGTTTCATGACCAATTTCACCTTACACCAGAAGAAAGATCACTATTTCTTTTTGACATCCATTCCGAAGACCGAAAAATAGATTGGGAGCTTGAATTTTTGCTCTTTTTGGTTAAGCTAGTCACCAGTTGGGCATTGATTTGGCACTCCACCTTCGCTATGAGGCTCTCGTGCGCATGCATATGTGATTTCAACATCAATGGCTTGGCTTGTGATACGATTGCCGGTTCCAAAAGGCCATCGTAATATAAATGTCTGGAATCAATGGCTTCAAGGCCTAACCCCCCCCTAAACTCAAAACCGGGTGCCGTGCGTAATGCAAGCCTGCTTTGCTCCTTATGTCTGCTACTGTGTACTATTAACCATATATGATGCTCGCCACCAATTAATTTCGTCTGATTCTGTCACTTCTGTCTAGACAATCGCACCTAGGCATACACTAGGCCGAAATCTTATACTATGATGCTGACCCTGCAAGGCAAGATATCAGCGAAAGGGGAAGAGAGTTATACTGGAGGAGACGAGCTCCCCAGACTATCTGCGAACATCCTAGATAGACACCCATCTCAACATATAGTTGATTATGTCAAGTTGCTCAAGGCAAAAGCTGTCGATAGACAAGAAGAAATGAAAAAAATCTGGAAAGGCCATCGGTAGGAGATGTTCTCTTGATTGACTTCTCAAGGGAAGTACACCTGAGAGACAATCTGCCTGCCGTAGCGCGAGCTACAAAATCGGGGTCATTAATTCGCGCCTACATTGTCCAGAAAATACATACCGGCATATCGGTTGGAACAGATCATGTATCCATATTTGCTTTGTATGCAAGGCTGGCTCGAGAAACCTGCGCTTGAGGAGGGCTAGAACTAGTTTCCCCCGGAATTTAACCATCTTCGTTGTCGTTTCCGATGGATTCTCTTGATAGCAAATGATTTATAGTCCATTAATTCAGTTGATTCGATTTGTATGATACCTGGATTTCAACGGTGCTATTGCATAATTGCGCCATGCAACACAAGTTGAGGTTTATAGCTCGCCTCAGGCAGAAATATCATGTGACTATCTCAATTCACGTGGCCGTGCTATCTCCCTTTTGCACAAGCTATCTCTTGCAAGAACTCATGGACACATTCTGATATTTGAATCAAGTTATTGCAAATGCAAACATAAAGGCACACAGAAATGTCTTTGCGCGGGCCCATGCGGCGGTCGCACCTGAGGCAAGTGAGCGCGGCGAGCTTGGAGAGCAGCTCCACCCACTCACTGGAGGCTTCGAACTGTGACCACGACCACGACCACGACCACGACCAAGCCACAGATGATCGGACTGTCAGGTTGTCCTCAGCAAGCTGGGTACAGCACCAGTGTGCGCTGTGGGTGCACGATGAGACGTTCTCACGGGAAGAGATTTTATTGAATCCATCGGCTTTTGGCGAAACCGAAGTCCAAGTTGGGGATGTTGTCGAGATCCTACCCATGCGGGGATCTGGCGATTCTTGCTATTCTACCCTAAAGCCCGAGGGAGCTTCTAAAGCTGTTCGCGAGACTCATGCCGAACTCAACTCGGCCTCTCAAGCGGATAGCACCTCCAAATTCAAGACTCCTCTGCAGAGCCGTTGTTTATTCGTGGTAAAAGCCTTACCACCAGAAACTAAGGCTCGAAATCCCCAATTAGAAATTTCAGTGACAAACAACATTGCCAACATCTTTGGTTTCAAGAACCGAACGCAAGTTCGATTATCAATTGTGGACCGAGACCAATGTGCAGCGTCACATGTCGACATCGCTTTTCGTGATCAATACATGGTCCGATCGGACATGTGGAGACTAGTCATGTCGGAGTTATCGGATAAAATAATATACAAAGGACAAAAGATTATGTTTATGGGGAGCATCAAAGCTACTGTCAAGAACATCTTTATCCGAGAGAAGAAGTGCCTCTCGGGATATTTCTCGCCACAGACAATCCCCATTTTCCGAAGCGAGTCCGCGAAATATGTTCTATTCATCCAAATGTCGAAAGAAATGTGGGACTTTGACTCGGAGGGGACTGGTGACATCCTCTTCAGCCGGGTTATCAACGGTTTCCTACCAGAGCTCTTCAAGAGATGGGCCAATTCAGACGCAAAGCATTTGGTGACCATTGTGCTGTTCACTCGAGTCGAATATGATAAGCCCACCAGTTCAAGCCAGCCTAATCTCAGCGCTGGGAATTTGAACAACAAATCCCGACCAAAAAAAGGTCCGACTCGAGACTTTTATCGTGTGGTAGTAAATGACATGGCAAGCGGCCATTGGACAACCATTTTAGACGAGTTGAAAAGGGAATTTAGGACCTTTTTGCGAGATGTGTCAATCCTGAAACCGGACGACCTAGACGTTGTATCCGGCAGTGGCATCAAGAGCTCTCACAAACCAAACATGGCCACCATTGCCGGGCACCCAAGTTCAGCTCTACGAGGAAACATCCTAGAGGCCATCCATCTCGCCTCTGCACACCTAGCTTTCGACCATATCGATCGAGACATGGTCCACACTGGCACCTCGATCATTGTTATCACCCCCGGTAGCGGTGTTTTCGAAGTCTCTTATGAATCCTTGGCTTCTACAACAGAAGCCCTTGCGAACCGAGGCATAGCAATTGATTTGGTCTGTTTGAGTCCGATGCCTCTTCATTCTGTGCCACTCTTCAAATACCGGGAGCCAGTGGAGCAACAGTCTGGGAATTTGGGAGGGGCTGGATTCAGCGGAGTCAACAGGGATAAGATGTCTCCTGAGATACACCATTCCCTTTCAAGTGTTGTTAGCAGATCATCATATCTTTCTCCAAGCTCATACTTGTCTGCAATTAGAACGAGGGAACGGGCAACACCTCAAGCCAAAGACTGGAGCTATGGTATCCCTCATTGGCTTGATATATCCTACTGGAACCCTGAAACATACCGAGAGGCCCGCCGAATCTTGAAAAAAGACCCAAATGCACCTATCTCTCTTACCGTCACTCGTCCATCAAAGGCGTTCACGCCACGGGTGCGCATGTATGAGATCCAAATGATGGGAGTCATGGAAAGTGAACAAGCAAACATCACAATTCCCTACCTTACTGAAGGGCGCGGTGGAACAAGACCTCGTGGATCCTGGCCCGGTTACAGTCCAGCTAACAATGCTCCTTCTAAACCCCGTTTCGCGAATCCTTCATCTTTAAAGGGACAACTTAGTGACAGTCTTCGCCCGGGATCATTTGTTCATAGCGCAGCAGAGCAAAATGAACTGCAAACTCGAGATGCGCAGAGTTCACGCAAGGCAGTGATGTCATGGATGGACCAATATGATGAAAACCTTTTTGCTATCTCTCCGAAACGACTCAAGGCTACGAAACCGCCCAAGGCAAAGCGACCCAGTGAATCAGAAGTCCAGGCTGCTGGGGGCGGAGTGCATGAACGGCTATCTGCCCGCTCCATCACGCGCCTCCGCCATCACGAAACGAATCCAGCAGACGAGAATGATTCTTTGCACTCTGGACCTCGAAGAATTGACTCAAACATGGCTACTCCAAGAAGCCCAAGCACGGGCAAGAATATCTCCCCCACAAAACCAGCGTTGAAAAAGACGCCGGCGCCAATAGCTTCACGAATTTCTCGGACGATTAGCTTTGCGCTCCGAGGCTTGCTCGCAACCCCACCGAGAGCCATGGCAAGCACGGGGGTCAATATAGAGCATGCCAGTGCTATGCCCATGACAAACCAAAGAACCCATGCCGGGTCAATTTCTGACGCCAGGAGCGTCACTTCCTTGAGCCCGTCAGAAACAGCATCGACTGCATCAGTCTTCGATGTATTCTCGCCATCTTCAACGCCCGTGAAGTCTTCTCAGACTCCTGCTAAGCCGATTTCCATCAAAATGCCCTCCAAAAACCCATCAAAGGAATCCGAACCGCCAGAGCAAGCAGGCCCTCATGGATCATTTTTGGTGAAAGCCCCAGTGAATGACGCTGGTCGGGACTACGGTGAAGATCATCCGAAAAGTCATAAAATCGAAATCACTCTCAATAATAGCCCGCGCGAATTACAAGTGCGGAACTCTCCGAGTAAAGCTCTGTCTCCATGGGTCCGATCTGTCAACCCATGCAATACCCCTAAAGACGTGCTGCGCGATACTAGTTGGTTTGGCCGTTGGCAACATGCGTATCCTCGCCCTCCACATGTGGCTGTGGTAAAGTGGAAGAGTTTAAAGTCTCCCGCGGTGCTTCCTTTGACGACGGAAGAATTCCCCACAGCCAGTGTGCTTGCTTCAGAATATCTACAGACACCATATCGTGTCTTCCCAAATGAAGACTCCGAAGGCATTGAAGCACCAAAGACCCGTGGGGTACTTTTACGAGAAATGATCTCGCTGCGGCTTTCTCATGGTTTCCAAATCATTGTTGGAAAGCATGTGGCCGACGTATCTGCGCAGCCCGCCCTTGAATCGCTAAACGTCTTCGATTTCCGAGGTCTAGAGCGCGATGGGCTCACTATATTTCTCTCCAAGGGCAACACAATCCACCGACTTGTCTGCATCCAAGGGGGAGAAGTTGAAGTGACCCGTTTTACGCATCAAAACTCTGCATTGATGACTTCTCCAAAGAAGCCCACCCTTACTCTCTATCAACCTGCGATGAAAACAATACTAAGCGCCGAATATGAAGTGAAGGATGTCAAGCTTGATCCAACCTCTCAAGAGTACAACTGGAACTATGCCGATAATTATGTGGCTGGTCATCGAGATTATCTCCAAAACCCGGCACAGCAGCTGCACTTCTGGCGAGTCCGTTATGTCTTGATTCCGCTTCAACTTCATGCCAATTCTCGTCGAAATTTGCAGGTTTCCCATGATGACACCGAGGAAGAAGTTCATTTGCTGGGGATCAGCCATTTGACCCATATCTGGCAACGGTACAAATACGTGTCACCGGAGGAAAAGCTTTTTGAGACATCAAATCCCAAGCGAGACCAGAATCCTTTGAACATCATGTATCAAACACGCAATCCATCGGAGATCGTTACAGCAGAGCTGGACCGGTTGCTACTCACAGACCCAGGGCTCGACAACGCCCCTGCTCAGCTCTTGCCCGAGTCAGAACTGTTGGACAGATCCAGCATCAGTCTTATGACGTTGGCGCAAATCATCCAGGGGGAAAAGGGAGTCCGGATGATGGACCGGCGATGGCATTGGAGGTTACACTACAACTGCTTCATCGGGTTTGAATTTACAACCTGGCTGTTGCAAAACATACGTGATATCGATACTCGTGAACAAGCAGTCAAGTTCGGTAACGAGTTGATCGATCATGGCTTGTTCCAACACGTTGAGAAGAGACACAATTTCCGCGATGGCAACTATTTCTATCAAGTCTGTGCTGATTACCGTGTCACTCGTCCAGAGTCTCGAGGAAGCTGGTTCCCTCAGCTTAGACCAGACAAATCAATGCCGTCGACACCCGCCATCGGGACCGCCAAAGACTCTCCTGCCAGCCTCAAAGCTAGATCGGATAGCATCGACGAGCGTATGCCACAGACTCCTAACACTCCCTCCAAGGCGAAGAACAAGGTCGCCATCATGCTGTCCAAATCCATGAAATTCGACGTTGATCCGCGTAAGCGGTCGAATCGGCCGGAAGTCATTGACCTTCACTGGGATCGACTACATAACCCCGAAAATTGCTTCCATGTCGAGCTCAGCTGGATGAGCACGACCCCCAAGTTGGTTGAAGACACCGTGCTTTCTTGGGCATCGACTGCCGACAAATTCGGGCTGAAATTGGTACAGGTGCCGATCGCCGAAGCTTGTGCTATCAGCAAGACGCAGCCATTCCGGAAACCCTACGAGATCAAACTCCAGGTCCCACCACCCAAAGGACCACTGCACACAGTGTTCAACAATGCATCATTTGCGCAACCTGGTCCACCGGATCGCCTCTACTACCAGAAGGCTATTTTGCGGAGGTTTGATTTTGTACTAGACTTCGAAGCCTCCTCTGCATTCCCAGCAGACGTTGAAGTTTACTACTCCTGGGGAAAGCCCGATTACATTTACCCGCAATTTATCCACCGAACGGGAAGCCTCCTCGCACAGATCACGGACGAAGGCCATTTCCTCCTCCTCGCGAATCGGCTTGTGAGTACCCGCGCCACCACGAGTCGAGACGCCGGCCGATTCGAGAATCACAATCGGTCCGATTTCCGAGGCCGTGCCCCGAACCACGATGGAATTGACCGTGTCTCACCCCGGCTATCTCCAATAACCCGGCCCGTTCATGATACTGGCAGTATCGGCAGCCCACTTACCCCATCCGGATCAGCAAGCATCGACTTGGCAAACCTGTACCGCGCTCCGGAAAACATTCTTAACGCCCTGGCCGAGTTCTGCGGCGATGCAGCACAACTAGAGCAGTTCTACTTGGAGTCACATGCTCGTCCATCCTCCACGAAGGTGGAGTCGACTACCACAAACGTCGTAATGGATGCATCGATCCCGTCACTCGAGCTTCCTGCCAGCTTAGTCGGTCATCATATCTCACCGCCGCCAGGATTGCCATCCCGGATCACCCATGAGTCGCGCGAGGGACTCATGTCACCGGAAGTTACACGAGCCAGGGCTCGAAGGGACAGTCTCAGCTACAATGCAAGCCCTAGGAGTGGCAGCTTACGACCCTTGATCTAAATATTCGATGATACCCATTTGATGCTCTGATTATTTTGTACCCAAGTGAAATGCGACACTAGCTATGTTCTTGTATTTTTGGAAGCAAAAATGGCTGTGAAAAGAACCATTTGATTTAAAAAACGACGTCCGCGTATTTCCGTACAGATTTGACAAATTCCGATCTTGACTTAGGGGGAATGAAAACCTATCCAGCATCCTGTCTTTATCTGAACATTGCCCCAAGACTGAAACAAGCCATGCATTTTAGCCTGATATCAACCATTCAGCCGACATTTTAACTATGAGCCCTGGTTGGTTGGGATCGCCAAACCTCAGAGGTTTTACACCCCGCCTTATGTGCTACCCCGAGCTACAGCAAATAGCGGAGCAACGACGCTATTCAGAATCTGGCCATTGCGGACGACATGCCGTGTCAAATAAAGTAAGTCTATCTTCTCCCACGGCGTCTCGGCGTAAGACAAAAAGAGCTTGACTGCCCTCTCTGTCATTCACTTTCTTCTTTTTGTCTTCTTTTTCATATTCTATTCAAAGCTAAAAGATAGCCGCCAGGTATCTCTGGGGTAGCTTGTAAAGAACTAATCCCAAGGACGAGGGTCTCAATTGAGATTTCCTGCCTTTTCTCTCAAGATGAAGTTCACCGAGGGGATGTGGTGCCTGCAGGTAACTTTACTCGCTTGTCGTTAATGTAGTTGGCATAGGATGAATATTGATACGCAATCGGATCATATAGGACGGCGTCAACATCGAGTGGATGAGCAACGTGGAACGATTTTCAATTGAAGACGACTCCGTCAATCTGCTGTTGAATAAGTTCCAAGCCCACCGAGGACACACCCTCAACTCGCGTGCGTTTTCAATCCCCCTAGGTACAAAAATCCAGAAGCTAACAATAGTATACAGCAACTGTCTCCATGCGGATAACCTCGCCAGTGGAGGGAGTCATTGGTGTGAAGCTTGTCCACTGGTAAGTACCTCAAGGGTTTAACCCAAGGCTCCAAATGTTGGTATTAGCAACCACTGACAGCATGCAGGGCGGGCCAAAATGACAACGGCCCTCACTACCACCTGAACAAGACCACCGGACACACTAAGATTCAGCACGACGACGCTGCAAAGACACTCAACTATACTAGCGGGTCACTCAATCTGGCTTTGAAAACCTCCGCCAACGAACTGGCCCTGGAATTCCAGTCCCCAGCCGGCAAGAAACTGACCGGCCAATCGTTTCGCTCTATCGGATACGTGCGCGATCAGCGCACTGAGAAGCATCGCTATGAGGACGGTATTTACGCCGAACGCCAGGGATATATGCTCGCAGGGCTTGACCTTGGCGTTGGCGAAAAGGTCTACGGTCTTGGAGAGCGGTTCGGGCCTCTGGTCAAGAACGGACAGACTGTCGATATCTGGAACGAGGATGGTGGTACCTCGTCTGAATTGGCTTACAAGAATATCCCCTTCTATATCAGCTCTAAGGGATATGGTGTTTTCGTCAATCACCCTGGTAAGGTTAGTCTGGAGGTGCAGTCTGAGCGCACTACTCGTGTCAATATCTCTGTTCCTGGCGAGGAAATTGAATACTTTGTTGTGTATGGAGCTACGCCAAAGAATATCCTGAATCGGTATACTGCTTTGACTGGCCGGCCGGCCTTGGTTCCGTCATGGAGTTACAACCTCTGGCTTACCACGAGTGAGTTCAGGGATACCGTTTTGCTCTAGAATACTGGATGAAAGAAGCTGATATTTTTGACAAAGGTTTCACGACCAAATACGACGAAGAGACTGTCACTGGATTCCTCGATGGGTTCCGTGACCGCGATATTCCATTGGGCGTCTTCCACTTCGATTGCTTCTGGATGAAGTCCTATCAGTGGTGCGACTTCGACTTCGACTCAGATATGTTCCCAGATGCCTTGGGATATCTCAAGCGTCTCAAAGAGCGCGGTCTCCGCATTAGTGTCTGGATCAACCCGTACATCGCCCAGGCATCGCCACTATTTGAAGAGGGCAAGGAGAACGGATACTTCATAAAGGTATGTTCCTGTTCCGAGACCGTGACACACAAAATGACATCAGACGAAAACAATCCCTAACAATTCACAGCGCACCGATGGCTCAGTATGGCAGTGGGATATGTGGCAAGCCGGCATGGCAGTCGTTGATTTCACAAACCCCGCTGCCAGCAAGTGGTACAACTCGCACTTGGAGCGACTAGCGGAAATGGGCGTCGACAGCTTCAAGACCGACTTCGCCGAGCGCATCCCGGTCAAGGGCGTCCAATACTACAACGGTGCCGACCCGGAGCGCATGCATAACTACTACGCTCTCCTCTACAACAAGACCGTGTATGAGACACTTAGCAACCGCGTCGGACGCAACCAGGGTCTCCTCTTCGCGCGCAGTTCCGCACCAGGTGGACAGGCGTACCCGGTTCACTGGGGCGGCGATTGCGAGAGCACATTCGAAGCTATGGCTGAATCGCTGCGCGGCGGACTGAGTCTGATGCTGTCTGGATATATCTTCTGGGCGTCTGATATCGGTGGCTTCGAAGGTACGCCGCCGGCGGCGCTGTACAAGCGGTGGGTGCAGTTTGGTCTGCTGTCTACGCACTCGCGTCTGCACGGATCGTCTTCGTTCCGTGTGCCTTGGATCTATGGCGAGGATTGCTCTGATGTGCTACGGGACTGTGTTAAGCGCAAGATCTTGCTTACTCCGTATATTCTGCAGGAGGCGTTTAAGGGCCATGGAACCGGCACGCCGCTTATGAGGCCGCTTTTCTTAGAGTTCCCCGAGGATCTCAACACATATGCTATTGATACGCAGTACATGTTTGGGCCGAATTTGCTAGTTGCACCGGTGTTTACGGAGCAGGGTGAGGTTACTTTCTATGTGCCTCATTCCCCTGATGATGAGGCTGGGAAATGGATCTCGTGGTTTGATCATTCCAAGTCTTATGAGTCTGGTCGCTGGTACACGGAGACTCACGACTTTGATACCATGCCACTTTTGATCCGTCCTGGTTCTGTTACTGTCACCAATCCGATGATCAAGGCCCCTGAGGATGACGCCTTGGAGGGAATTGAGTTGCTGGTTAATGGGCGCCTGCGGGCTGAGACTACAGTCGAAGTTGTCAACCCGGCTCAGTCAGACGAGATCTTGAAGGCTGTCCGAATTTCTCCTATTGAAGATGGAAAGGTTCAAGCAAATGGTCACAGTGTGAAATTGGTTTATGTTGCCTAGATTCGAATTCAACAGAAAGTGAGATTCATGGAACTTGTGTCATTTGCATCAAATTGGTCAAGAGTCATATTAAAAATGTAGGGGAAGAGCCCCACAAGGAGAACTGAACTTCAGTATGAAGTGGGTGGGTATCATATTCAAAACATGTCGCCATGCAAAAGGCAAAGCTGGAAAAAAAAAAAAAAGAAAATCAAAGAAGAGAAGAGAAGGGTCATCAACAACTCAAAGCCCAGGTACCATACCAGACAAAACCAAATCACCAACTAGGCAGGGGAAAGGAAAAAGTAAAAGGCGTGAGTGCAACCATGCAAGGACATGCAGTCAGCAAATTTGAAGAAATCAAAGCTTAGTAAAGCGAAATCACCACACTTCTTCGACGTCAAGGAGCCACTTTCGGATTCCTTCACGCAATGTATTATCAGCACCTGCTAGTGCTCTTCTCCGCTCACGGTCGGCTATCCCAAGTGTGCTATCCACATCTTCACGGCAATGCTCGGCAGTAACAAGGCGGACAACTTCTTCAAGGGCCCCGAGCACCATCTTGCGGCATTCTCCACGAGGCACTTCAGGGGGAGGGGCTTCATCGCCTTTGGAAGAGGGACCTTTGTCTTCAGCTCTACGAGCACGGTTGGGGGAAGGGGCACGTGACTGTGCCATTGACGAGTAACCGCTCTGTCGCAAGACACGCTCGACAGCATCAACTAGGACTCCGTCGAGGTCCATCACCGGTTCCTCGATAAACCGCTCTTCCATGAAACTCTGGCCCCGCTCACCAGTGGCAGGGCCGTGGATAAGTTTCTCATGTCCGGAAAAGAAGTTGGTGAATTGCGAGGTCGAGGCAGCTCCAGCAGATCCACGTGGGGTAGCACTGGAAGGCGAAAGAGGTGTATGAGGAGAGCAGCTACCCACTATGATCTTGCGTCGTAAGCGAAGTCGTTTCACCGTAGAAGCCTTGGTGTCTGCAATCAAAGTTGTTGCAACATCGACCCATTTTTCTGATCCGTCAACGTCGGATGTGGAGGGGATGTACGGGGATGGTTCAGCCCGCATTGCCCGCTTGATTTCTGCTTCAAGAGAGGCATAAGGCCGAACCGCTTGGAGCGAGAAATCTTCATGGAAGAATTTTAACCAACCAGCCACATGGGAAGTCGGTCCATCGCTATCCTTCGTAGTACCGGGAAATCCGGAGCCACTGCTGTGCGTAGAAGCAACTGCATCCATGCTGGTGACGGAGGTTCGAGTCTTCTTTGGCGAGGCAATAGTCGAATCGCCAGACGAAGAGAGTGACATGAAACCAGGAAGCGGAAGATCAACATCCACCACGCCTTCCTCTGCTCGGACCGACAACTTCAGAGGTGACTCCCGAACTTGGCTGGTGAGTGATAGTGGCTCTGGCGAAGCAAGCTCGGTTTTATGAGGAGCGGCAGTAGAAGCAGTTGGAATCGAGATGTTTCCACTGGGGGCTGTTTTGGGCCAGTGTTCATCATCATATTCTGTGACCTCCTTGACCATTTGAGTCAATGTGGTTGACCCGCGCCTAGCAGGGCCAGATCTTGTAGAGGCGGACCTTCTGCGAGCTTCAGATGGGAAATATGGCTCGCTGCTTTCGGTAGATGAGCCTTGACGGGAGCTCCAAAGACCGGAGAAGATTCCCCCCCAGCGGCCTCCAGCTGAGGAAAGACTGCCATTTGTGCTCACTGCAGAGCTGTCACTTCGTCGAAGGCTCTTCAGCAGAGTCTCCGATGCTAGGCTATCGTTGC